ATTCAAGTATAGAGCTGAGTCTTTGAAATCAAATCAAAGGAAACACCATTCTCCTGTAGTCGATCTTGAAGATGAGTGGGCCCAAAAACGATTCCAGGAGTTAAGATGCCGCCTTTCGGAAGATCTCCCCGTCGTTCCAAAGTGATCAACGCACACTGAACCAGAATGATCGAAGTTGCGAGATACCCAACGTCAGGCCCCGTCACCCTCGTAATAATTTCTGTATCAGGCGTTGCGTTTCTCTGAGAAGCAAGATTCGCATCACTGAATCCATGGCCGACGAACCACATCTTAAAACTAGCACTCTCCAATTCCTCTTTGGTTGGACTGTTCTTCCTACAAATTCCAAGACTGAAAAATGAAGGGAATGTCAACAGAAACCACCTACCCAGAGAGGATCCGGACAACCGCATAAGCGACAACCCAATTGCGATCCATGGAAGGAGACCCAGAAGCTTCTTACTGCCAATCTTTACTAGTCCGAAATGAGCAGGTTTTACTATGGACCAAAATGCGATTCGTTTATCTGCGACTTTAGGATCCTCATTCACTCCATGAAGACCAGTGGGATTTTCTGCAAGGATCGAGAGTGTTCTCCGAACAACAGTGGCATCGGCGGATGCGAGATTCAGGGGCCCAAAGTCCGAGCTGTTTCTGGTATTCTATGATCGATCCTTTTGTAGGAGCATAACCAGGAATCTGAGATAAAAAAAAAAAAATGTAAGAGCAGAGTATAAATAAATACACAAAACGATGACTACTGTATCATTATCATACAGAAGGTCGAGCTCTTCTGCGTCCTGATCGTCGCAACTTGTTGAGGTTATCAGCATTAGCGAACCCCAAAACTGCAGATTCATACGTGGCAAAATTTGCAACTGTCCTTTTAAGTTGTAGATAGGCCTGAACCCGATTAGGAGCTGCCGGCGAAACCCATTGCCTGGAATTGAACATGAACCCGAATTCGGCTGCAATAGAAACAAACCCACAAGCTGAAATCACCAAGCTGCCGGTCTCCACCGCCTTCTCATGGTAAACGGCCTCTATCCTCTCCATGAACTCCGGCTCACCACAAATATCTAAATAATCACATCCGGCTTCAACACATGCATCGACGACTGGGTCACCGTGAAGGCGAAAAGGGCCAACGCAGTTAAGGACAAGCTTAGCTTGGGAGCCATGCGGCGGAGAGAGGATGTGTCAGAGGTGTCAGCAACGAGGAGGGGGAGGGTGGGGGGAGATTTGGAAGCCCATTTTAGTGTTTCGGAGAGTTTTGAGAGGTTCCGACCGGCTAAGGCAAGTGATTTGAGCGGCGAATTTCGGTGAAAGAAATTTGAGAGCTTCTCTAACTACGTGCTTGCCTGTGAAACCAGATGCTCCGAAGATGACGATGTCATAGGTGGTCGTTTGAATTTCTGCCATTGCGTATGTATATGCTAAGATCGAAAGCGTTAATATATAAGGTTCTATGGTGTAGTGGTTAGCACTCTGGACTTTGAATCCAGCGACCTGGGTTCGACTCCCGGTAGGACCTTTTTCTTTTTATCGACTCCCGGTAGGGCCTTTTTTTTTTTTTTTTTTTTCCTTCTTTCTTTTTTCTATTTTTTCTCTTTTATTTATTATTATTAAGAAACCTTTTCGTTGACTATTATTACCATATGTGATTTTTTTTTATAAAAATGCAGTAAAAGATGGAATAAATAATGTTTCATCTCCAACTCTACTTCATTTTTACCTTATTTTTATCTTCAAAAAATATATTTTTAGTATATTCAATTATTCAAACTTACATAGATCGTTAAACACACCCCTCTACTAATTTAGTTTTAACAAATATATAATCTATATTTTTTTTAATTACATTAATATTAAATACAAACGATTATATTTATAATAAACTTATAACTAAATATTATACATGCATTTATAAAAATATTACACATACACACTTTTAAATAAATATTAAATAAATAAATAATAGTATTATCACATGTTGGTTTTTATTAGATTATTATTGTAATATATAGGTTAACTACAAGTTTAATAGCATATGTTATCGTGTTTGTAATATATATTTTAATTATAAGTTTTTGTAAAATACGTTATCGTTTTTTAAAATTTCAATATGTATTTAAATTTTTATATGAATTTGATGAACAAAAGACAAACTTTATATTTATAATTAATTAATATAAGTTAATATATAACAAAATATTATAAGTATTAAATATTATATTTAAATTATAATTAGTAGGTAAAAATGAACTAGAAATGTAAAAATATATAACAGAGGGACTAAAATCGACAACACATAGTTCACCCTCATTTTGGGATAAATGAATAGTATAACACCATATTTCGTGTAATATTATTCATATCCTCTCAAATGAGGGAATAAATGGAAGAGGGTTGTAGAAGAATGGAGGGTGGAGGGGGGGGGGGTGTGACATCCCCAAAATCACGGCCAGAAAAGACCGATTTTTTTTTGTTTATGCTTTATGAAAATCAGAGTACTTCATTTTATAAAAAGGTTGCGGAATTTGTTCCCAGAAAAAAACATGGTAAATACGTTATTAAAACATTTTCGAGGAAATGTATTTGTTTCATTTTAAAACGTTTGGCATGTCATCGTTAATACCGAAACATAAGCATAAACAGAATTTACAATGATTTACACTAGTGATCTACATCTCTTTAAATCTCTCAGTATAATGTCACTTCACTTCGTCACCTGTGATATACATAAACTGAGTGGGTCAGGTTGGGAAACCTGGTGAGTACATAGAGTTTTCAACCCACAATAATATAATTATTATGTTCAAACAAACAATCAACCCAATTACCCATCCCCGTTATCTTCTTTACTCTTAAGGATTTAACCTAAGAGTCGTCTATCCTGCATTCGTTTATTCCGAAGTCCCTTACTTCCAGGGTCATAGGACTGACACTAAATCCATAGCTGCCAATGTTCGTTCGTAAAGCACTAATTCCATAGCTGCTATATCTTACTCATCGGGTACTAAATCCATAGCTACCAGTGCTCAACAGGTACTAAGTCCATAGTTACCAATTCCTATAGGTACTAAATCTATAGCTACCAGTGTCTAACTAACAGGTACTAAGTCCATAGCTACCAACTCCTAACAGGTACCAAATCCATAGCTACCAACGTCTGACAGGTACTAAGTCCATATCTACCGGTGTTTGTCCCATAGGCACTAAGTCTATAGCTGCCAATGTATACTCACGTCATCCTCTATCTCTCATCATTCATCTACCCATCATCATACCCAACATATTCGTATATAAAATATGTTATACAATTTAAATCCTTTAAAACATGTATAAGACGTTCATCCAACATAGACAACAAGTATTCAGATAATATGCACACATAACACGTAGTTTATATAAAATACTTCATATCTATGTGTAAGATGAAAGGGACTATGCACTCACTTGATAGGTGGTGACTCAACACTCGGACAGCGCTTCGATACTCTCAAAACAACTTTCCTTCGATAAAACCTAGTATCAACACCACTAGGGTTTAGTCTACCGATATCCGCGACAAATTGATAGTCTGACTATTATTATTATTATTATTATATAAGCGTTAAATAACACTCAATATAACTCATAATAATAGCCCAAATAATTATTTTAAGGTCCTAATAATGTTACTATAATTAATTAGAAGCTATATTAAAACTAGCGTAGGCGTAGCTCACTTACAACGAGTTTTTTCGCAAAACCGGGCTTCGCTGGAGCAGCGTTTCCCGAGTCGAAAGACCCATTTTCTGATGGGTTTTTTGGTCATAAGACATCCTATGTGCTCATACAAACCCTAATGCTTGGATCTAGGTTTCTCTATTGTACATGCTTTGAATCCAAGACTATAAACCCTAATTCTAGCATACAAGTAATCATATTAATATGTAATTAGGTTTAAGATCATACCTTGATTGTTATGTAGCAATAACAATCCCAAATCTCCTTGTATTGACTTTGGAAGGCTTAGAGTCACAAGTGTCACTCCTCTAATGGTTCACAAACACCATAAGCAAGAGGATGAAGAGGAGAGAGGTTGGAGGCTGCCAAAACGTGTGTAAACCCTTACAAGAACATTAACCACGTTTTTGAGCCTTAAGGGGTCTTTATATAGTTGGGCTATTAGGGTTATCTAACAAGGAAACCCTAATTTGGATGCTTAAGCCCATGGACAATTTCCTTATGGGTTTCCCATTAGAATTCGTCCATCCCTTAATACAAGGCAATCCATGGCCCAAATTGCAATTATCCTATAATTACAATTCCAGTCCCTTAAGTTTAATTAATCTCTTTTAGTCACAAAACTAATTACCAATTAATTATTGACTAATATTAATTAAACAATATGATTTCTCCTTTAATATATTATTCCCACAATATATTAATAAATCATATTTAATCCTTACTCTCCATAATTCATCCTATCAAGTTGCTTTGGTGAAGGCAACCCAAAAGGACCATGCACCATCGGGTCAAGTACATACCAAAATAGTTATGGACTTAGACACTAATCCAACAGTCTCCCACTTGGATAAGTCTAACAACTATTCTGCGTATGACTTCAGATCCTGATCTGCAATCGTAGCTTTCCAAAGCCGCTGTCAACTCTGATCATATCAGATACGCGTGTCCTTAGATAAGGGATCATATATTCCTCCATTCTAGATATCGTATGAGATATGATTTCAAATCATTCTCTTTGTACTACTTCTCGATTTCTGATTTATGACGACAGACTAATTGAACAAATCAAATTAGCCCTAGCCCGGCCGAGCATTTACGTTTGTCATCACTAAACCATCGAGGGGCCCAAAGATATCGCTTCTATCCTACCTTGGATAAAAGGAACGGATAAACTTTGATACAATGCTTGCTTGCACTCACTAACCAAATCACACACAACAATATGTTTTATAACACCAAGTTACTAGTGCGTTTACATATTATCAATGTGCAACCGATTAGCAAGATACAACTCACACATCTCGGTTTCAAGAATATAAGATGTTATCGTCTCACTAATCACTCGAGATAGTGATCCAAGTGAGCGTGGGTTTAATCCAATGCTCAAATCATATTCATAAGCACTCATGAACGTTGCAGCAAACATTTGCTTATGTCTAATACTCTTCTAGACAATCCACACACCAATTCACGACAGTCTTCATTCATATCTACTTCCAACATATGAACGACTGTGGCCCGTTCGAATAATTCGATTATTCTTAATAAACTCAATTATTCTGGAAGTCAAAACATGCAAGGTGAAACACAAGAATAATACTAATCCCATATGGCCTCAAACCTTTGAGTATAAACAAAACACGTTTTATTTATCACCATATCGATTACTCATTATTTGTCGTTTCGGGTAATCAACTTCTTACTTGAATTATTACACTTGTCCCATGCTCCTAGCATGCACACAATGTTTACCTATGGTTCTTACTTTGTGAAATAGACAAATTGAACACATTTCCAATCATTCTCATTTTACAACTCCAAATCCATTTTCTTAAGTGTAAGAATATCAATTCTTGTTACTTATAGAATATACTAGATTCTAACACTTTATGCAACGATCCTTTCGTAATGTCACTGCACCAAAGTCTCAAAGACTATTGCCAATGATATTACAAAGTCCTCTATCGGAGATTGTTACAAGACAATTCCTTAGATATGATGTCTCTCTCTCAAAGTACATTCCTTTGAACATCCTTTTGCATAAAAGTTTCTAATCTAGACATAGATTTTCAATATTTACTTCCCAATATGGACACACTTCCATATTTTCCATATGACAACTCATTCTTAATAGAATCTTATCTATTCGTAATGATGTCGATATTGTCCATCCAATATGGAAACATTTCCATAATTTCCAATACTATACTTCCAACTACTCACAAGCACCAATCCTCGTCGAACTTTGGATTGTCCTTTGATAGTTGTTTAATTATTTTAGTCAAAACCGATTCTAGTCCCTTTTCCCTCTAAATGCACTAGACATTTGGAAAATTTAGAATGGTCAAACATTAAATCATTTGCAATCGATCCTATACTCGAAGCGTATGGGACACGACGCATAATGTTTTATTTGCTATGTTCTCAAAATTCGAATTGTGAAGAGGAATGCCGTAATCATAATCGAAATTTTAAGAACACACTATGTACCTTTGACTAAATTTATTAACATTCCACAACCTAATCCTTTAGATTTGAAATGAAGCATAATATTCTCTCCCTTAATTATAGCAAAACAACCTTTCAACTCTTACAACTTTGCAAAGTATGACTCTTGTTTTCTATAATTAATATTGCCAACTATGCAATACTTGCCTTAATAATCATACAATCATAACATTTATGCTCCCACTATCATGATGATTATTATAAAACAT